AAGGGAATGATGTTCTTACATAGTTATTTTTTTTTCTCCATGTCACTTTTAAAGAGGGGCAATCTGAAACCTCTTCGCCGATCGCCTTGAAACCTGACATTACGTTCCATTCGAATATGCGCATGGGTTTTAACCTATACAGATGCCACACGTGATTGGTAGGAACTTTTAAACGGCGCCATCTGTTGCACGTGAGAAACAAAAACGCTATACTAAATGTTACAATTCCATTTCAATGATTCAAATTCCATTGATAACAAATTTTCATAGATTTATTTTCATAGATTTCATTGACATTGCGTTGGAATTGAGCTGTACTTACCATACAGTTCGGTCACTTAATGGAGCGCTGCCCTGCTCCTTATTGTCCTCATTGCATTGTCCCTCTTACTGTCGTGCACATCCTTGTTGAATGTCCTGACTGAATGTCCTGACTTCCAGGACGAGCGTGTCTTGCTTTCCGACCGTCCCTCGCGGTCACTTGTCCCTCGATAGAATTCTAGGTGAATCGGATACTTTTGATATCGTTCGCCTTGTGCGTTTTTGTTCTCGTATTGGCTTTCTTGGTGATATTTAGCGCCCTCTGAATATTTCGCACTTTGATGGTGCGAACCGCCTATTGGTAGTTGAAGGTTGAAGCAAATAATGGATGGGGCTTAAAGAATGCGTGCCTCGCCACCTGACTGTCCTAACTTCTTCGGATCACCAAGAGCGTAGGACCACCACCCTGGCTGAAGGCGGTACATATTTACTGACCATTTGGATGATGTGTCCAAGGCTATGCATACGAACATAAGACAGAAAACGGATGAATTTGACTCGATTTATGGGGAACTGACAATTACCCGTTGGCTCTCCTGTAATTGGAAGAGTCGTGTGAAGACACCTCCCAAGGTCACGATGGTAGGGATTATACAGTATTGTCATTTATCACACGATGACACAGCTGGTCTTCTAGGAATGTATTACAGGATTTAACTGATTTATTTCTGGCGAGTTTGAGACTGACTTGTTTTCCCAAACATATCAGTGAAAAACCGGATGCTCAAGTTACTTATATTGAATTATGAAATTGCCAGACAACATGACCAAGGGCAGATAAATGTGTTTAGAGCAGGGTGGGATTTGTGAGAGTCTTTTTCACTACAATTATTTTGAATAAGATGGAAAACTCATCATGAGAGGAGTTTGCCAAGCCAATGGCCGGCCCGCCAGAAGGTGATATCTTTGGCACCGCTCGTCGTTTGTATCTTTCTGCTCTTGTATTAACCTAAATGACACAGGAACTGTTGGATATTGCAACAGATGTTATAATACAGCATTTTTGATATCTTACCTTCACCTAACTACAGCTCCATCCTGTAACAACACCTCCACCTTGTCACTACACCACCCGCTGCCACTACATTTCCACCTCCTGTCATTACACCCCCACCCACTGTTGCCCAACCATTTGAGTTGGACGGTGGAGCAACGGTCTCGCTTCATGCAAGTCTGAAGTGAGGTGAGGTGGTGGAAGCGGTACCCGTCATCTTCTTGATTTCCTCATGCCGGATAAGACAGTCAAGTGAGACTGCATAGTGTGGGCCGTTGCAGAGCAGGCAGCGTAGGTGGGAGGATGTGCAGCACCATGATTGGAGCTCCCGGGCACAGAGACTGTATCTCTGCGCTCTCTCTGTGTACTTCCTGGTGTAGAGGAAGTACTTGTAGCACTTGAAGCACTGCCGAAGCTCCGTGAAGCGTTCCTTGGTCACTAGGGCAGGTAATACCCGTGTAAAAATAAGATAAAAGAAATAATAAATTATCTATTTTATTATATAATATAATCACTTAAGGTCTGTATCTTGGTACCCCCTCCCCCCCCCCCCTCAAGGTTAAACTCTTGACCCTCCCCAGGATGCAACAATTGCCTAATTCTTGCGTACCTATTTACTGCTAGGTGAACAGCGGAATTAGGTGAAAGGAAAAGCTTGAGATCATTTTTGTCTGGCTCGGGGATCGACCCTGGGATCCTCAACTGCGAGTCGAGAACGAAGGTTTGGCTTTGCTTTCTTTCTCGCGATCTCCTATAAAATTAATAGTACAAATCTTGACTTTTATTTTTTTCGGGGGGGGGGGGGGGTTTAAACAAGATAATTTTGTATTTTAGTCCATAGTAATTGTCCATGGTTGGAATCCAGACGCTTGCGGCTAACCTCATCCAACTTATAAGGATAACAAAATAGGGGGCAGAGGGCTGTCATAGGCAGGCCAGGGACGACCCCCATTGGTCCCCATCAAGGAATGTTTGCTGTTATAGCGACTCCAATGAAGTCTGAACTTGTGGTTCTATTTTGCAGAGTTTTTCAAGAATTTTTCAGCTGTTCATAACATCACATGATACGGAAAACGTAACATTAAATGTGTCCGGAATCACGGTGTTGCAACGGTGCATCAACGTAACGGTAGTGCAAACAACGTTGTGGGTCCGTTGACTGTTTGCTAAATGTCTTGAGAGAGATACAATGAGATAGAGACAGTGAATGAGTTAAGTGAGAGAGTGAGTTGAATGTGGTTGGAGGGGTAGACAGACATACAGACCCAGGAACCACCAGGTCAGTGACATATAAAGGAATATTCTCCCATCCCGAGTATCCCCAAGCGGCTCCGTGTAGATAAACGTAAGATTATTTACTGAAAGAATAAGAACTTGAGGCTGTGGGAAACTCTAGACGACCCAAGGACCACCTGTCCCACTGGGTGTTGGGGCGTGTGTGGGAAGACTGTGCTAAGCCACTGAGTGTCACTTACGGGTCCATAATGGTCACTTTGCCTCGTTCTCACCGGCAGTTAGGTTCTGTTGTGCCACAATAAATATACTAACTACTAATACGATGTTAACTTTAGGGAAACAAAGACTGTTAGAGGATTACGAATGAGTGTAAATACTGGGGTAAAGAAGGGGTGTATTATGAGAGGCAGCGACCATGAGGAGGGTGTGAGGGAGGTGTTGAGGCGGGCAGGTGGGGCCCAGCTCCTCACTCTCCTCCTCACCTTCACTCCAGTAACATCGTCTGGCTCAAGGTATTATGGTATTGCGTTTTGTGTTTAAATTTTGTTGTTAGTGTAAAGTCGTCGATATGTTGATACCAGCTCAGGGGGTTTGTATTGGGAGAGTTAAGGACGTGTTGAGTTTGTGTTACGTATTAGACTTGTGGATCATAATTTCTCTAAATCTTAATTCTTTTTTCTTTTTATAAATTCCTGAGGGCTTGATGTAAGACTTCAAGGGAATTAATTTTGCGTGTGACCTGGTCAAAGTTACGTTCTAAGAAAGACGGGAGGTCAGACAATCTTAAACATAAAAATATTTTTAAGTTTAATCTCTAAAAATGTCTTGAGGAAAATCTGAATGTTGTCTAACTTGTCCATGCTTAAACTCTCGGAAATAAATCCTTGCGAAGCGAGTAATTAAGTGTAAACTTTCCATAAATCTCGTTTAAACACTACTATAACATTAATCCCGATCCCACTAAAATCTTTTTTCTTGCTTTCTCTTTACCCATACTTTTAACACCCAGTGACCGACTGGCTCCTCCTCCTGGAGGTGTAAACTGTTTATTACGTGTTTAGAGAAAATATTTGTATCGATGTGGAGCTGCATTAAAAAATGACTAAAGTAATTCAATCAATTATTCTTAATCTTGACACTAACATATTGCAACCATTTTGGAATTTAAAGTCTCTTGCCTTTGGACTTCTTCTACCCAAAAAGTCTTCCCTACATTACAGATGCTGCATTCTACATTAACCCTGGTCTTCTACGTGGCTGTAGTGACGTGTCAATATCTACCCTTACAGGTGTGCTATTGGATACTTAAACATTTAGCTGTATAAAATAAATTACTTGAGCTTCATATACTGTGTATTCGCCTGAATGTCTACCATTTTTTTCATATAAACTTAACATTCCAGGCTCCACGTCAAGACTTCGGTACATCCGCTGCTCTTGGTCCCAATATTCCCATAGACACTGGTCGACCCCTTCCTGTGTCAATCGGAGCAAGAGGGACCCTTCAGAGTAGAGCTCAAACTAGCGCAGCTAACGACGCCTTTATTCTCCAGCGCCCTAGCAGTGGCCTTGTTCTTGACGCAGGCCAGCACCGAGGAAGTTTTGCTGATGGACGTGTCTTTCCCCAAGACTTTCGCAGTGATGTAGGTCCTGTTGTCGGCCAGGGTGTCTTTGCTGGTCCTGGTCCTGTTGTCGGCCAGGGTGTCTTTGCTGGTCCTGGTCCTGTTGTCGGCCAGGGTGTCTTTGCTGGTCCTGGTCCTGTTGTCGGCCAGGGTGTCTTTGCTGGTCCTGGTCCTGTTGTCGGCCAGGGTGTCTTTGCTGGTCCTGTTGTCGGCAGTGGTCCAGCTACCATATTCAGCAGTGGCAGGTTGGACCAGGTGAACGTTCCGCGGGTAGCGGTGGGCAGCACTCGACCTGCTGGAAGTGTTGTCAGACCTGTTGGCGTCCCTCAGGTCAGGAGGGTGGACGATGTCTTCAACCCCACTGTCACCCAAGTTGTCACCGTCGACCGTTGCGTCACTGTCACCGACCAAGCCTTCAACAGCGTAGCAGTCACCCTGACATCCTTCAGCGTGCAGACTGTCACCGTCGGAACACTCTCGGTAAGTTCACGATAAATGTGCAATATCAAGATCATAACGCTCAAATCATTTTCCCGCTTATAACAATACCTTCTACTTCACAGGTGCTACAGACGCCTGTTGATGACCGGGTCGATATCCAGAAGTCTGTCTTTGTCCGGCCAACGTCTGTAACGTTAACAGAAGTGAAGTCTGACTTCAGGATCGTGACAGAGACGTCACTAAGCTACGTGACCCTCGGCCACACGTCCTACATTATCAGCCAGTACACCTACACCACCACGGCCACCCAGGTGTAAGTAGTAGACACTTGTGTTTGAGTGATGGTTATTAATTGTTACTTTAAGTTAATGAATTTTGTATTTCAGGTTGACGTATACAGCGACGGTGGTACACACGAATATTAACACCCACAGAACTACTCTCACAAACTACCGCACCGTGACTGATACGGTATACGTTAACAGCGGCTACGGCTACCGTCCTCAATAGTGAACTTTTGTATTAACAAGTTTAGACCATGGGTAAAATGAGGCACGTAGTATATTCCTGTAATGCATCTATTTGGTTAGAATAAATGTATTAATTAAAACATTTTTAGACTTCAGTATTTTTTTAAAGGACCAAAAGTTACCCGCTGCATAAGTTCTACCTTAAAGTATAACTACGTGATTTTGGCCGGCATAAAAAAAAAAAAAAAAAAAAAAAAAAACATTACAAAGTCAGGAGTCTGACTACTTAAGTATTTGGACGTTTTCAAAAATTAAGCATACTCTTGTCTGTATTACTAAATGTTTGTAGTGGTTGCTCTCGAAGACCACTTAAGGCAATGCTACAGCTTTAAAGATTAGGCAGAGATTTCAAACTATTGAAAGAGAACCAGGGGGGCGAAATCTGTAAGGCAGATATCGCCTACGGTATATGATTTTTAGACTTAAATACTAAAATCACTAATGGACTGGCACTCTCCTAACTGAAAACGTTTCGAGGGATGCTTCTTCGGGAACTTGGTTTTTCAAAGAGTTTTCATTAAGACTTGCTTCTCCTTACTACGTCCCTTTCCCCCCCCCCCCCAAAAAAAAAAAAAAAAAAAAAAAATATAAAGTATTATATAACGCCCACTCCTATTTCCAGAGGGTAGTAAATACTTTTTGTTAACTGATTAAGTTATATTTCTGTGCCTTTTTGTGTTACTCTGATATAAAATATTTAACCTTGTTGGTACTCTTGCTTTCACCGGTACTAGACGGCATGTACACTAGCACTTGTAACAGTCAAACCAAGCAACATCGAAGCATCCTGTGCCGATGTGCATTAGTGATAAAAATCTAGAGATTTGCTTTCCTCGCCTCTTGCCTTCCAATGAAGGAAAGCGATGCATGCAGAAGTGCACTCGGGATACAAAGACGAATGTCAAATTATGGCCCTCTCCTTCCACCTGTAATCTAAATTGGAAAGTTACTGTAGAAACTCCCCATCTGGTAATGGGTAAAGACTTTAACTTCAGCAGAAGCTGCAAGTCCTGAACTGAAAGACGCAGTTTTCGTGATTCTTTGGATTCGGCGGTGCTACTTTGTTTAATGTGTTATGAACGGGAGGGGAGTGGGGCCATATTCCGTGTGGCTCGGGGAAAGATTCGGCCCAACAAGAGAAATCTGCAGAAGTTTCCTAATGGCCCCCCACTGACCATATAATGTTAAAGGTTATGCTCACCTTTGTAATCCTTGTTCCGTATAGATTTTGGGCCCTCCCTGTATGAGCAAACGGAATTTAATTCTCCCTTCCCCGCCCGCCCCCTCTTGGTGAATAGGATGCTTTTGATATCGTTTGCCTTGTACGTTTCTGTTCTCGTGCTGGCATCCGTGGTGATACTTGGTGCGCTCTGATCATTCCAAACACTTGATGGTGCTACATAGCCGTCCCGGTTTGGTGCCTTCTTTTGATAATTACTTGTTCTACCTGAGGTTGCTATGCCACTGTTCCCTGAACAGTTGTGCACCTCTGAACATAAAATGGCTGTAACACTTCATGAAACTTGTAGAAGAGCTGTATTCCTGGAAGGTGATCACTAGAATGCAATGCAAGGTGGTAGGTATCACCGTTGCAAGGACTACGTGAGGAATGGATACAGTGATGGTGTGAGGGGGGAGGCCATCCTTGCACCCAAGGAGGATATTGTTGGACATAAATGCCGTCATATTGAGCCGGGGAGGCCAAAGACACTTTCTGGAGACCAGGTAGTGCAATACCCAACAGTTCCTTGATTTAAAGCCTATTGGGAATACATCCATTTAACCTGGTGCTGAAGGTTGGTCCCTCCATCATTCTAGGGAATTTGGTGTCTTTGTTAGTAAGAGGTAGTTCCTTTCCCATGTGATTGAGGCCACAATCATGACTGGATCGGCCAGGGTGGACATTCCTTTCGTCCTACATGCCGCTGGTGGGAAACGTGCAAGTTTGGTATATCCACAGGCCCTGGAATACGAACCATCGGAAATCGGACCAAAACTATAAACCTGGGGTTAATAGGGCTGCTGGTTAGGTCCCCGTAATTAAAAAGAGGCTACTGAACCTACCATGGTTGTTAGCAAAGGTTAAAATGACATGACACGCTGCAACTTCTGATACAAGGACTGCTACAGTCTACTAATGATTTTACCCACGTAATCCGATAATCGGCGTTGCCCGGGCATTGCCGGATGTCATATCTGCACTTAAATAATTGAGAAATCTGGGTGTTCTTAGCTCTAATTCAGTTCATTTTTCAGACGGCTGTACTTTCCTTTTTTTTTCTCTCCCTTTCCTCCATCGCAGCATCGTTCGGGTATGGGCATAATATTAAAATATTAAATGTTACCTTTTAGAGGAACAAATTTTTAAACTCGATTTGTAATCTACATATCCAGGGTCGGGTGACAACACCCCCCCCCCCCACAGCCTCGGGTATAACAACCAAGTAGCGAGGTGTCCTTGTGTGGTGACCTCGACAATTTTAGGTCACTGTTCTCCTCCCCGTGCTCGCTGCGTCAACTATGGTGATACTCATCCTGCCTTTTCTCAATCATGAACGCGTTATATCAATTTGAAGAAGGTAAGGTAATTATCAGGGGAAAGATTTGCGATCTTGAGGTTTCAAGTTGAGGATGGCTACTTCTACATTTGAAGAAGCCGTCCTACACTTGAAAAATCGAAATGGTTTTTTCCTGAAGTAAAGATGCCACGTCCAACTCCTCTGATATGACGTATGCGTATGTGCTGCATCTCGCTCCTCTTCCCTATATCATTCTCATTTTTTCGATTTATATAACACCTGACATTGAAAATTCTTGATGACATGCAGAACAGTGATCCTTTTCCCATTTTGGTATCGCACTTTTTTCTCTTCCTTCCGGCCTCTTCTCTCTTGTTTTTTTTCCCTCGGTGGCAGTTTGATATGGCAGTCTACCTGTCTGACCTCCCTCTCGTTAACTGCCTCCTCCTTTTTCACAACACCTTATTTGACTCTGTCCTCTAATCAAAAACACCTAGTCCCTAATCATTCCACTTTGTCTTCCATCTGTCAGTAATATTAAATTATAATGATTTATAATACTTTATAGTTCTCCTCTCTCTTTCTGATATTGATGTATAATTAGTTCTTGATAATATTATTTGTTTAAAGTATATCGCCTAGTTTATTATGCACCCCATAGCCATCCTGTGGGCAGTAGTGGAAAGAGGGACTATAGTGGGACATAACGGGCTCAAAGATTGAACACCAAAATTCATTTAACTAAACTAGTTAGTCTTGATGAGCTAGTTTTCAAAATTCAATGCACATTGTCACATCAACAATGGGCTCGAGACCAACCATAAGTAGGCTCTTGGGAGTGCTCGCCTGGCTCTTGGCGGAGGCAGACGTGTCGCCTGTAAGCTCCTGGTTTGTTGGCCAGTGGTCGTTTGTGTTTGTAAACGGGGCCTTGGGGCCGTGCCGGCTGGAAGGATGGCGGCTCCTCTTTAATAAGCAGAGGGATACCATTGGCCGGCGTTTGCTGGACCAGCGTCTTACCCGGCAGTTGAGGAGGTCATGTTTGATTTGTTATGGGTGGATGTGGCGTCTGTGTGCGGCGTTCAACTTGTGTCCAGGCATTGAGCTGTTGTGAAATTCAGCTCCATGGCTGTGTATCATGACTTTGTGGACTGCTATGACGGGGAGGATCCTCACTCTGCCTGAGGTCGGTGGTAGTTTCGGAAAGGTGCAGTGAGACTCCTAATGTGGCAGTTCATGGTGCTCCCTTTGAGTTCCCTGACTCCCTTCTCCGGCGTCACTTTACCCAGTATGGGCGGGTATTGAGAGTCCAGGAGAATGCTATCTCCTCCGGGCGGTGGAATGGTATCCTGAATGGGACCCACACTGTGGCGATGCAAATGAAGGACCCCTCATCCCTTCGTCTCTCCTGCTTCTTTGCTTCACGGTGCGAGTATTCTATGCGGGTCAGAGCCGGACTTATTTCCGGTGAAGATTATTGAGCCACCAAGCTGCGGGTTGTGATGCGAGCCGGGTTGGGCCTGTGAACCTCTTCAGAGAGGAGGACTTTTCCCCGTTGGCGGCCCATGGCCTGTCTCCAGGTGCTGCTGTGATGAGTGATGCTTCCTGGTCGTCTGGTGCCCCGTTGCCGGTCTCTGGTGCCCACCTGATGTGATTGGGGGTGTGGGTGTCGAGGTGTTAGTGCGACCCTGGTTCCCCCGTCTCGGCCACCTCTGACTTCCCCGTCTCCAGGCAAGTCTCCTGTGGTGTGTGGTCTAGTGCCCCCAGTCATCGCGACTGCACCCTGGACTGAACTGTCTCCGTAAGCTATGTCTTCATCCCGTGTCGACGTGCACGCAGTGACGTCTCCTGCGGTGTGTGGTCCTGTTCCCCGGGTTGTTGAGGCTGCGATGTTGCGTGATCATGCGCTGTGTGGAGTTGCACGGCCGACCAAAGGTTCTGCTCCTGTGCCTCCTAGTGGGGGTGATAGTTCCAACGACCTGCGACCTGTGTCCAAGCGATCGCGGCAAGCTTCGAGTCTTTCTCTGCCTCGTGGTGAGGCCTGGGCTGACGTTAGGGATCTTGGGGACTCCAGGATTTCGTCTTCTGTGGTTGGTAATGTGGGCAACTATGTTACTATGTTGGGGTGCCAACATAGTAACATCCTGTGGGCCGTGTTGCAACAGTGATGGGTCCTGTGGTGGGATTGTCGCCTGGTTCTCTGTCCTCTCCGGCTGCCTCTGTATCCCGGGTTGCTGGTTTTCCGGGTTGGGAGGTTATGGCACTGGCCGAGGTTGCGGGAAAGGTGGGGGGTGGGGGGACTTGGTGATGGTTCTTAAAGGTTTTGTTCCAGCGGCCCTCGTGCCACTGGCATCCATGTCTGTGTCCTCCGTGCATCTGCCCTCGGTGATGCCGGCCGCTGCTCAGTCACCCTTTGTCACTCCGCTCCCTGTGGTGTCGGCCCCTGCGCCATCGCCCTGTGACTTTGTCCCCTGCGTCTCTGCCCGTTGTGCAACCGTCCTCTGTATGGCCGGCTCCTGTTCTCCAGGGCCTTGTAATTCCTCAGCCTGCGCGGCTGAGCTCTGTGCAGCCTCTC